GCATTGGCAACAACAAATATTATAAAGATAAATGATGCGATGGTGTGAAATTGTCAACTTATGATACGATTTGTGGTGTCCGTTTGACTGCATGCACCAAATGTTAAAAGATAAATCACAATTCAGATTCAAATAGCAACATCATCAACTATGGAAACTCCATCTTCAGGCTGTGTGTATGGATGTAAACTCAATCATTAGGCTTCTTTTTCATTTATTATCTTTATTTGATATCTGGTCCTTTTTTTCCAGTTAATGGAATGCCTAGTCATGAAAGATGACTTGAGTGAATAGGTCGTATGGGGTAACTTGAATTATGGCTAAGCAATTTCTGGGAACCTTTAATTGGTACATCTTATTTTTTCCTTGCTTTACGGTTTATTAGAAAACAACTTGCCGATTTATGACATCTTTATTCTTTAACGAATTTCAGAAAAACCAGCCATCCATCCCAGTAATCAGCAAGCGCTAGTTCTGGAAATTGCAAAAATGTCCTCGATGCAGGGTTAAAATTGCAAATACAATAAACCACAGCCTGGTTCCAAGATTGCCAACTTTGGTCATTATTAACAATAAGAGAAAAGACCCATTTTATCCCCCATATAGGCTGAACGAACCTCATATGGTAAATCATCTACTATATAAAGTTCTTGATGAGATTTGTGCCCCATGGTTCTTTTGTCGAACAATGTGCTTGAATGAGTAAAACGGCTCAATTTCACGCAAACACAATCGGAGAAAATATTCTAGTTCCCAATTCACCCTTCGACTCCGAATGGCACTAACAACGATCAGAGAATCACTCTCCACCATTACATTTCGGACTCCCAAAAACGTACAAAAACGCAGCCCCTGATTCACTGCTAGAAACTCACCAACGTTATTCGAACCCTCCCCAAAATAGACGGAAAATGAGGCGTTTAAAGACCCTGTATAATCACCAATCAAGCCCCCTCCAGTACATACGTCATCATTTGCCGAACCATCCACATTTAATTTGTTATACCCATCAGGAGGAGCTTCCCATTTGTGCCACGTACCTTGTTTCACCTGTACTGGGAGAGCTGGAAAACCGGCAGCCTCAATTTGAAGATTTTGGGATTTCGTGCTTGCTTGGCGAGGAGTGAATAAATGATGAACCTACTGCACTTGAGATTTGGCGAATGATCTCACTAAATCTCATCCCCCCGACATCATAAATAACCTTGCAACGAGATAGCCAAATTTCACGAAAATATGACAAACAATCGATGACCTAACCGCCGTATAATATGACAGGTTATGTGGCTTCGGACTCCAAACTGCAATCGCATGTTTCGCAAAGACAAATTGATCTTGGAGATTAAAACGCAGCCCATAATATTTCCAAACCTAGCGAGCTACTTCTGAGTGAAGAAAGAGATGGTTCACATCCTCTTGCGTGGGCTGGCTGCAACAAACACAACGAGAAATCAAAGGGATACCTCGAACAATAATCCTCTTATCCACCGGGAAACCATGATGCATCAATGGCCACATAAATCCACTAGTGCGATGGGGGAGGTAAGGCTTCCAAATACGTGCAGCCCAATTCACCTTGCGGTTAAGAACCTTGAGAATTCGCATATTCTTTGCTTGAAAATTCACCTGTAATGGATAAAGAAAACACAAATTTATCTGGAGTATTTTCGTCAATAATGATGCATTGGAGCCGTACATGCTGTGAATAAGGGATTAACGAAATGAAATCCGATAAGTGAGAAAAAGCTTGAGCAACTGTAAGATTTTGATCAATCAGCAAAGGCCCCTCAAGTATCTCTCCCAACCAATTATCACTCCAATTTTCATTGACCATATCCTACGATCCATTGAGAGTTCTCCACCAAAGCTTCCTCATGGCTTTGGATAGAAATCCAGAGAGGCAAGGCCAATCGTCGGGTAAGCACCGCTCGTTTATCGTAATATTTTGACTTCGCAAATCTAGCCCAAAGGGACTTGGCTTGGAGAACCTGCCACATTAATTTCCCATGCAAACATTCCATCACCTGGCGAAGAGGGCGAATACCCAAGCCCCCTTCTTCAATAGGAGTACAAATCGTTTGCCACCTAACCCAATGAACCCTCGAAGCACCTTTAGAACTCCATACGAAATAAGCCATAAGTTGCTCGATACGGGAAATCACCAAAGCTGGAATTTTCGAACATGCAAGCGAGTAAATAGGAGAGCTAGCAAGGACCGCCCTAAGCATCGTGATCTTGGCCGCAAAATTCAAGAACTTCCCCTGCCAACCTTCAATTTACCATCGGATCCTCTTAACGGGATATTCATAATAGTTAACTTTGCTTCGACCTGTGTATATAGGTACGCCTAAATACATAAAAGGAAAATTCTTCTTTCGGATCCGAGTTACCTGCTCAATGGTAGAGTACCCAGATTCGGCCCACTTTCCAACATAAAGGGAACTTTTCGAAACATTAATCAGTTGACCTGATGATTTTTCATAAGCTCTAAAAACGGTAATAAGGTTTTGAATGGACGAAACGGAGCTATTGGTGAAGACAAGGAGGCCGTCCGCATACATCAAATGAGACAATGAGATCTCATTCCTGACAACTTTATACGACAGCACCTCTGAACATGACAGTTTCTTATTAATGCTGGAAGTCAAAATTTGCTGAGCCAAAACAAATAATAGAGGGGATAGGGGATCCCCCTGTCTCACTCCACGAAATGACCAAAAGTAAAAGGCCATCTCACCATTTATATGGAACGAGTACCACACACTGCATATATTACGATAGATCAAATCACACGCTTTATGGGAGAATCCAAAGATTCTCATTGCCTGAACAAGAAACCGCCATTCTAATCTATCGTAAGCTTTCGCCATGTCCAACTTTAAGATGACAATGCCACCACCACATTTATGATTAATATCCCTGGTGAGTTCCTGCGCGATCACTATGTGAGAAGTAATGTTTCATCCTTGCACAAAACTTTACTAGAGAATTTACCTAAACTAGCAGGTCGGAAATCGCTCAAACTCCTCACATTCTCCACTTTAGAAATTAAAACCAACGTGGTTAACTCATATCCTTTAACATATGCCCCCCTCGAAAGAAATCCACATGAAATATGTCTTAATAATTTCCCAGCACGAGGTATAGAAATGCCATGTAAAACCATCCCTGCCTGGAGAGCTCGATGGTTCAAGACCTTTAGTAGCTTCAAGAACTTCTTATGTCGACGGAATAGCACATAAATCAGAATTTAGGGTGTCATCTATTGCCATAGGCACCTCTTGGAACAACTCCTCGTCCAAAAAATAGTCACCAGCTGAAAATATTTTTGAAAAATAAGCTTCTGAAAAATATGTCTTGGAACAATTCTTAGGAGCTGCCCCAAGCTTATCGTGAATGGCTTCAGACCAACCTTGTTGTAGTTGCATATCTAACGTTTGGACTTCCATCCGTTTTCACGAATATTTTTAGCCAGGTCGCCAAACACCTCACAATTCCAAGTTTTTAGAATTTTTCGCAGATGTGCTAATTTTCGATGAAACACATATGTAGGAGACCCCGATATTTGAACATTCCAAGCATCCTTAACAAAATATTGAAAAGTGTCGTGGTCCATCCATATTCGTTGAAAGATAAACTGGCGACCAGAGGACAAAAGGCACCGAGCAAAACTCACACATAGGGTCGCATGGTCCGAGTACGATCAAGAAGATCAACTTTCAACATGGGGAACAAAGCATGGAAATCTGCGTTCACCATAACCCTATCCAGCTGTTGCCAAACCCGAGATATCACCGTACAATTATTACACCAGGTAAAAGGGTTACCGACAAAACCTGCATCTAGTAACCCAACTTGCATAACAAAATCCTGAAAATCATGCATTCTAGCACTATCGCTTAACCCTCCGTTTTTCTCCGACGCGTCTAGAATGGTGTTAAAGTCCCCACCAAGGAACCAAGGAGTGCTTATAGCACTATTCAACGCCAATAGATGTGCCCAAAGATCTTTACGTTTCCTGTGTAAGCAGCTCGCATACACAAATGAAGCAGTAAAAAACGAATGATTCTGAATATCCACAGCTACCGTAATTGCTCATCCGTGTTCCATAAAATCAAAATATACGCATTAATATCATCACCATGTAAAAATTTGGGAAACCCTTGTTTCCATGCAAGGTGTTGTAATTTATTTGCAGGAAGCTTTGGTTCCATAATTACTAGTAAAATAACCTTGTGCTGATTTATAAGGTGTCTAATATGATTGATTGTGGAAGCCCGTTTCACCCCCCGAGTATTCCAAATCAGACAAGACATATTAAACATTAGGGTTGTCAACAATATTTTCCAGTGACCTGGTAAGCCGATCCGAAGGAGGAATTAGTTTCTTACGGAAGACCCGTCATTAGGATCACCCACTTGATTATTATAGGGAGCCTCACTGTCCGACTTAGGGGATATCGAACAACCATTTTCCTCTTGTTGGTCACTATCCGAATGGATTATCGCCAAAGTCAAATTGTTATCATCTTCATGTTCCTCTACCACTACGAGGGATTGGAATAGGTTATGTATCGGAACAGACCCTATTCCCATGTCAGTTCCCTTATGTCAGCGTTCTCAATAAAATCGATCCCTAAAGCATTGATCAATTCAGCTTGAAACATGTTTTATACCTTGTGAGTATATACTATTGCAGCATCTTTCAATAAAGCATTATTTTTTACGACAAGTGTAGGCATCCCATGACGACATTTAAAGTCATTTTCCTTTTCATCTTGACGCCACGCTTTTTGAACTTTCTCGAACCTAAGAACACTATCGAACAAAGTGTGTGTAATCTTACCACCAAATTTCAAAGTAGAGTTTGAGCCTTCGCTTCTTGATGTGGCTTTAAGACCCGTACTGAATCTATGTTTACTAAATGCAGTAGACCATTTATTCATTTATTCATCAACTTGTACATATTATTTAACCATGAATGGTCATGAAGATTATAAATCATGTTACTCCAAATTTCTCAAACTCTTCTTCAGTTTCACATAACTCCATGCATCTATGGAACATATTCTTAGACTCTGGATTATTACTCAAACTTCCAAAATGCGAATGTGCATTTTGATAGATATTCCATTGACATAATCGATGATGCGATTTGGGAAATATATTTTCAACAACATTCATCATTGCTTGGCATTGATCTGTGAAAATAGTCTCAGGTTGTTTGCCGCTCATAGACTCGAGAAATGTATTCAATAACCAATTGAAAGAAGACTTTGTTTCACGAGACATAAAAGCCAATCCGAACATCACATTGTTCACATGGTGATTAATACCCATGAAAGGAGCACAACTCCAATTGTACTTATTAGTTTTATAAGTGCTATCAACTGAAAGCACATCGCCAAAAGTCTCATAATCAATCCTACACCGGCCATCTCTACAGAAAAAGTTACACATCATGTTATTTTCATCAACGTGAAAATCCCAATAGAGCAAGCCATCTTCGTTCGATTTTTTTTGAAAATGTCGAATTAATTCTGCAGCATCTTCAACTTGTCTATGACCTTTTGCTAAACTGCTAAGGTAATCGTATGCATATTTTTTAAGAAAGCCTACATTTCCCCTTCCATGTGATTCTTGTTCCATGTATGAATATGCATTAGCTATTGAAAATCCAGCATCTACCAGTGCTTTTAGTGTATCTTCTTTAGTATGCGAAATATTACTAGCTGATCTCAACAATTAACTTTGATCTGGTGTGACCATATCATGATTATGTTCAATATTAAAGATAGTCACTCTCCACTCTTCATTTTTTTTTCCGCCCAATTCTAAGTCTTGTTGTACAACCAAATCATGTTTCCATGTTAGAGTACATGGGTTGTTTACCGTTGATACTACGTTTTTCAACTTTTGTTCCTTTACTAGAACATAGATCATAATCTTTCATATAAAGTTCTCTACTCTCGTCATGAAAATACTCTCGCTTTCCTTTGATACGCCCATACTCGCAATATAACAAATATGCATCTTCAGGACTTGTTATTATTTGAACAACTGTTAACCTATGCTCAAATTCTTCTACCAATGACTTGTTATTTTCTTCAACGTGCTTTGGCATTGACAATTTTCCTGATGCACGTTGGTCAGAGTCGCAATTTGCATTATTAGTGTTGGATGAGAATTTTTTATCCATATCTATGAGCATAGACATAACAAAAGTCAGAGAGTGTTAATTAAATAATAATAATATTACATAATTGATGATAAAACATAAGTTACATAACAAAAGTCAGAGAGTTAAAAAGAAATTTTGAAAAAATAAAAAAAAAAAAGATTTGTGGAGACTATTCCAACTATAGTCCTTAAACTAATGATTTTTGTATTAGATAATTTAAGATAGATGATGCAGCATGTTTCTTATATCAATGACCATGCAATGTAAACATAAAACTTCTATTGTAAATATCAGATATATAAATCTATTGTAAATATGATGTTGTAAATGATAAATTAATGGCAAGTCCTAAATAGTTGATTAGTCGATATACAGGGGCGGATCTAGGGGGTGGCCATGTATGCCATGGACCACCCTAAATATAAAAAAAAAATTATTTATTACATATAATATTGGATACCTCAGTGGTAAAGTAGTCCAACTTTTACCCTGAGGTCAAGGGTTCGACCCCAGGAAAGGAAAGCTATTTTTTGCTGACTTTTTAATTTTTTGTGATTTTTTTACCTCAATTTTCGTGCCCCCCAAATCCCAAATCAGTTTTTTTTTTCCTCAAAAGTTCTTACCACGATCAGCAGTCAGCAACTTCCCCAACTCTTTTTTTTTCCTCCAAAACTTTTTTTTTTCTCCAAGACCCTCTCTTTTATTTTCCCAAAATTATTCCTATCTTCTGGAATTTGTGGAAGACAACATATAATTCAGTGGATTTTCGAATTCAATTAAGGGAATCCCGAAAAATTAAAAGCAAATCAAAGGAAAAGGGAGCTAGGGTTTCAATTGATAAAGAGGTAAAATTGTTAATTGACAGCAAATTGTTTACGGCTATTGTCTCAGGTGGTGGTCACCGAATTTAAGCGAGAAGTCAAGTCTGTTGTTGAAACTTTAGAAGTCGATTAGAGGTAATTAGACTTTGAATTTCAATTTTTATGATTTTTCAGATAATTTGTGCACCATCAATCAAATTGTTTAATTGATTTTATTTCATTTATTTTACAGGATGTTGTTCAAGTTCTTTACGCCTATCCCTCGATTTTCGGAGTCTAATAATTCTACTATCGGAAATGAATCAACAATTGAAGCCTCTCCAATTCTTTCTACAACTGAGGGACCATCCGAAGAACCTTCTTCTACTCCTTCATCAAGTGATCCACCATCTTCAAATAAGGTATTCAAAAAGGGGGAATATTTGGAGTTGGATCCTGGCAAAAGAACTCCAATTCTTGATTATCATATATAGGCGTAAAGAACTTGAAAATAGTCATAATAACTATTATATTGAGACGGCCTACATTAAATATTTTCACTTAGTTTTTGTATTTATATTTTTTATTTATTTTAATTCCCAAAAGTTATATTTAAAGACGCTTTTAAATGAGCTGTCATAAAATGCTACATTTATTGAGACGAGTTTTATAATTCGTCTTTACAGCTCCTTGTTAGCGTCGTCAAAAGTGTAAATAAGTTAGCGGCCAAAATTGACAAAATTAATTTAAAACATTTCACCTTCCCTCTCAACAAAATATTCCTCGGCCAGATCTCTTCTTAACCCTTTAAAATTTTTCTTTCCTTTTCTCGTATATACCTTTATTCATCTTCCCCGTTTTCTTCTCATCTTCTTTCTCGTCTTCTTCCCTCCCCTTACCCTTTTCTCCATATCGTGTGCGCTGGTAAGGTTTTTATCCTCTATCCCCTTCCCTTCTCTCTCTATTGTGTTGAGCAGAGCTGATTAACCTAATTTTAGCATCGTGTTTTTTAACAGAATTATAGATTTAATCAGACAGAGTTCTTTCTTACCCACAATCCAATTTTATTGTGGTACGGTTCTGCTTCCATATTCGATTATTGAAGACAATTCATTGGTAAAGATATCATTGTACAACTCACCGTACAACCCTTTTCCTAAAATTGATTTTCCCATTTTTTTTTAGATATTCGTCTAATTGATTCACTACTCAATGATTTTTTTTGTTTTTTGTTTCTGGGTTCAATTCTAGGAACTTATTTTTGTTTTATTAGTTTCAATTATTTTTGGATAGAATGAAGAAAAAATTTCTTGTTTTTGTACATTGAATCTATCCCCCTAATTAATGACCGTTTATGGTATGAAAGTAGGTTCTAAAAATGTTTGTATTATTTGAATCATGAATACTTCCGTAAGTTGTAAGTATGAATGCACCATACTGTAAAAATTTGCTTGTTGGATGACTTGACATTAGCTAATCACCATACTCTAAAAATTATGCATTTTAGATGACTTTAATGTTTACATTATCTATTTATCATGATGGTATGTTGGTCCAATAATATTTTTAACCACGTGTAACAGGGGTCTCAAGTTGGCAGTCACTCTATGCGAATTTTTAAATGGACTATGTTCTTTATTTGCTCGATGAAGATCAAAAGGTTTACCATCATTTCCATTTTTTTGTATATTTAGTTTGTTGTAAGTTGTGTATTTTAAATTTTCCTATTCGATGGTCTTTTCCATCTATAACACTTGTCATGTCCTCTCTTTTGAAAAGGATCAGTACGAACAAGTACTCTACATAGCAACTTCTGGGAGGTAATACTTAATGGATAAATTGCTGCAATAGCTCTACAACATGAGGTAAAACTACTAGTATAATATGCAATTATTTGTTCTTTGGCTTTCTATATATTTATCCCAAAAGCTATGTTGTAGCTTAAATGATTGTTGTTTTCCTTTACTTTAATTATTTCAAGACTTATGTTTATGTCTCTACTTATGAGAAGAATACTACTTTGCAATATTCCATATTTATATATGTTGCACAGTTGCACTATGCAACAAAGGCCAAGTGTTAACTTTGTTATTATGCAATATAATATTAGTATGTTTCATTTTTAATTATAATCGTATGTTTAGATGGCAGGTTGAAAATAAAGAACATAGAGGAGAAAATAATAAGCATCATACTACAACGAAAGACATATATACCCAAGGTATGTACCTGGTTTTCTTGTACGCTTAGATCAACTAAAACACGTTTTGTTTGCTCCTCTATTTTGGTTATTGAATGAATTACATATAGTAGCTATATGCTCAAATTGGTTGGTCAAATTAACATAGCATAACTGCATGCTGTAAAAAGTTAACAATATGTATTTCAAGAAATTTTCAAAATTCGTACAATGGTAGTGAATGTTATCATATTTGGGTTTGTATTGATGAACTTCATTTAGTTACACTTTCTTACTGAAATTTTCTTCATGTTTGTTTCTATGAGTATCAGGTCAATAAAGGAATGACATTTGCATGGACTGTTCTATGAATGTCGGCAAGGACAAGGAGATCACCAGAACATTTTCTCATATTCAGTTGCCAAAATGTTGAAACTTATACATTAGATGTACCCTCCCGGGTAGAGTTTCACCACATGTGCTATCATCAACAGCTTTGAATTTTATTTGGTACTAAAATAGTTGTTTGAGAGACTTTAAGTGAATTTAGTACACACTCAATTATTATGTAATGTTTAGTTGATGTGTTGCAATAAAATAGAACAGTGTTTGAATGAGTTATTTCAAATATGATTGTTTTGTTTTGTTGAAAATATATGTGAATATCTAGAAATATTCAGTGAGAGGTAATTTTAATTATGGAACTACCACAAGAAATAATATTTAGGGACAAAAGGAGCGTCATAATAATTAACCTCTCATGACAGCATAAATAGTCACTGCAACACTTTTTATGACGACGTGGAGCGTCATGTTTTGGACCAATAAAAATTATTACGGATCTTGTTGAGACGCTGAAATGCGTCATTAAAAATTGTTTTAGAGACGTTTAATAGCGTCATTATTACATAGGTTTTAGGACGCTGCTAGACCGTCATTATAACCTATTACCACGGCCACCTATGTGACGCTTTAGTACGGCGTCACTATAGGTCAAGCGTCTCAATAGACCCGTTTTGGTGACAATTTGTGGCGTCACAAAAAGCAGTTTTTCTAGTAGTTCCAAATGATCAAGATGAGGTGAGAAGAGCTTATCTTGTAAATGGACCTACAAGACCCAATATGACAGATTATCCTCCTAGAAAAATTGGAAAAAGGAATCGTTCTTTTAATAATAGTTGGTATAAAGACAATGACTGGTTGGAATATAGTATAGAAAAAGAAGCTGTGTTTTGTTTGCCATGTTATTTGTGCTACAATGGTACAAGTAATTCTGCATTTGTGATTGAAGGTTTTAGGTGTTGGAATCTAAAAAACAAGTTGAATACACATGTTGGTGAACTCAATAGTAATCATAGAAATTGTGTCAAAGCATGTGCGAATCTTATGAAGAAAAATCAAAGTATTGAGTCTTCGTTTGTAAAGCATAGTACAAAAGCAGAAGCTGATTATCTTGTTCGTGTAAAAGCATCACTTGAAGCAGTCAAGTTTCTTGTCAGAGGTGGAATTGCGTTTAGGGCACATAATGAGGGGGAAAATTCTATTTATAAGGGCCATTTTCTAGAATTTATCGAAGCATTGGGGAGAAACAATGAGAAAATAGCAGATGCATTTAAAAGTGGTGGAGGAAATTGTAAGATGACTTCTCCTATTATTCAAAAAGAACTTGCAAATGCATGTGCCGTTGAAACTGTTAAAAAAATAGTTGAAGAAATTGGAGATGGTTTCTTTAGTGTTCTTGTTGATGAGTCCGGTGATTGCTCTGGTAAAGAACAAATGGCAGTAGTTGTGCGTTTTATTGATGATAGGGGATTTATTGTCGAACGATTTATTGGCATTGTTCATGTTGAGGATACAAGTGCGAAAGCGCCTAAAGATGCTCTTGAAACTTTGTTGTCGGGATTTTGATTGTGTATATCTAAAATTCGAGGACAGGGATATGATGGAGCAAGTAACATGAAAGGTCAATTTGGTGGATTGAAAACCTTGATTCAAAAAGAGAATCCACAAGCCTATTATGTGCATTGTTTTGCTCACCAACTTCAATTGGCTCTTGTTTCAATGGCTCGGAAGCATGAAGATGTTGATTGGTTTTTCCTTGAAGTGTCTCGTATTGTAAACTTTCTACGGTCTTCTAACAAACGACAATCTTTACTTCGAAAAAAACAAGTTGCTCATTTTGCAAATCTAATTGAGGATGAGTTGGTGGAAACGGGTACCGGTTTGAACCAAGAGTTGTCTATTGCAAGAGCGGGTCATACACGGTGGGGATCTCACTTTCGGACTCTTAGTAGGTTGATTTGTTTACTCCTATTATTGAAGTGCTTGAAGATTTGAAAAGTGATAGATATTCAAAGGGTGAACCAAAAAGTTTATTATTTGTCATGCAAACTTTTGGTTTTGTTTTTATGTTGCACTTAATGGTTGAGGTTTTGTCGTTGACAAATGATTTGTCTCAAGCATTACAAAAGGGAGATCAAGATATTGTTACCGCCATGCAACTTGTCCAAGTAAGTAAGAAAAGGCTTCAACAAATGAGAGATAATGGGTGGGATGCATTTTATGAAAAAGTGGTGGATTCTTGTGGTAATCTTGAAATTGATGTGCCCGACATGGAGTCAAGGTATGTGAAAGGTAATAAATCCAAAAGACTAGCTCCGTTATTGACAAATCTCAATTATTTCAAGAATGATTGCTTTTTACATGTCATAGATTTTATAATGAAAGAGTTGGGTGATCGATTTACACCGGAAAATGTTGAGTTGTTGAATTGTGTAGCATGCTTGAATCCTTATTCTTCTTTTCAAGATTTTGACATTAAATCACTTGTGAGGTTGGCAAGATTCTACCCAAATGACTTTGAAAATGTTAGTGATAAGGAGTTGTCTAGCCAACTTGAAACTTATATTGAGTGTGTCAAGATGGACGATAATTTTTCCAAGTTGAAGGGTATTTCGGATCTATGTAGGACTCTTGTTCGTACAAAAAAACACAAGACATTTCGATTTGTGTACACACTTTTGAAGCTAGCTTTGTCATTACCGGTGGCCACGGCAAGTGTTGAGCGAGTATTTTATGGCATGAAATATGTGAAGAATGAGTTGAGAAATCGAATGGCAAATTCATGGCTTAATGATTGCTTGGTGGCATTTGTGGAAAAAGAAGTGTTTATTACAGTCGATGATCTAGATATTATCAAGCGCTTTCAAGCCATGAGTAAGAGGAGAATGCATTTACGGTTGGACTAGAAATAAATTTTTAATCTGAGTTGTAATTGAAACATTGTTATTCTTTAAATTTTTTTTCTATGCGGCATACCCTGAGTTTTTATGCTGGATCCGCCACTGTATATATATATATATATATTTGAATATGTATTTCACCTATGTATGTCTAGCATGCATAGGCATGTAGCTATATGGGTATATACGTGTATATATATATATATATATATATATATATATATATATATATGTATATATATATATATATATATATATATATATATATATATGTGCATGCATGTATTATACTATGCATTATAAGACACTTATAGAATTAAATTAAAATGCCACAAATTAATTAACTATAACACATAAGTCACATAAATTAATCTAGCACGTAATTATCAATAATTAATCCATTTAAGCACATAATTATCGAAATAAAGTTAGCACATAATTATTCAATAAATTCCCACCACATAAGGCATATAATCAAATTGGCATATAAGGATTATTAGTGTAAGCAATATAAAGCACTTAAGGAATTAAGTTAGTAGAATTCCTAATGATCTCTACGTGAGATTTTTCGGGTTATGGAATTTTGGTTAGGGATTAGGGTTTCGAAAATGTGGGGTGTTACAATCTTCCCCCCTTAAAATATTTTTTTCCCCACAATTGTTACCTGACCCGAATAATTCCGGAAAGTGTTTACGCATTTCCTCTTTGCGTTCCCACGTGGCTTTTTCTAAAGTATGATTATGCCACAAGACTTTAACTAAGTGAATGTTTCGGTTACGTAGGGTTTTGGTTTTGTATTCGAGGATTTGGGAGGGTTTTTCTTTATAGGTTAGGTTGGGGGTTAATTCGATAGGTTTGGGTTTTAGAACATGATCTGGGCTACGAATATATTTATGGAGCATGGACACGTGGAATACGTTGTGAAAATTGGATAGGTTAGGCGGTAGGGCTAGACGATAGGCTCGGGTGCCGATTTTCTCGAGAATCTCAAAGGGTCCGATAAAATGAGGCGCTAACTTTCCCCTTTTGCCAAATCGCACTATTAAAAGGTGCCACTAAAAGAAATACGGGGTCTCCAACTTCAAATTCTAAATCTCTTCTTCGAGAATTGGCGTAACTTTGCTGTCGACTTTGGGCGGTATGCATTCTTTCTCGAATGTTCTGAATTATTTCGACGGTTTGTTGGACTAGCTCTGGGCCGAGGAATTTTATTTCTCCAATTTCATCCCAATGGAGTGGGGATCGACACTTGCCACCGTAGAGAGCTTCGTATGGTGCCATTCGGATAGATGATTGGAAGCTATTGTTGTAGGCGAATTCGATTAGTGGAAGTCGTGATTCCCAATTTCTTCCGAAATCGAGAATACATGCGCGGAGTAGATCTTCTAGGGTTTTGATGGTCCATTCGGATTGACCGTCGGTTTGCGGGTGAAAAGCGGTAATAAAATTGAGGCGAGTTCCGAGAGTTCCGTGTAAGCTTTTCCAGAATTTAGACGTGAATCGAGGGTCTCGGTGGGAAATGATGGAGACTTGAACACCGTGGAGTCGGACAATTTCTCGGACGTACAGCTCTGCTAGTTTCTCTATGCTAAAGGTCATTCGGACGGGAAGAAAATGGGCGGACTTGGTTAATCGGTCGACAATTACCCAAATGGCGTCGGATCCTCTTTGGGTCTTTGGAAACCCTTGAACGAAATCCATTGTGACAACTTCCACTTCCATTCTGGAATCAGATTGGACTGCAGTAGACCTCCGGGTCTTTGGTGTTCTGCTTTGACTTGTTGGCAAACTATACATTCGGCGACGAATTGGGCAATTTCTATTTTCATTCCGGGCCACCAGTAGAGTTTCTTCAGATCTTGGTACATCTTGGTTGCTCCGGGATGGCAAGTATACATTGTCTGATGGGCTTCGGTTAGGATTAGTCGGCGAATCTTGGAGTCGTTAGGTACATAAACGCGGCTTTGGAATCGGACAATTCCTTCCTCGGAGACTCGGAAATTCGGATTGGATTCGAGGTTGTCGCGAACTTTGAGAACTTGGGGATTGGCTTGTTGAGCGGTCTTGATTGCTTCTGTCAGATCTGGCTGAACGATGAGGGCGTTGATTGATTTGCGGCTAAGAGCGTCTGCCACGACATTTGCTTTACCAGGGTGATAGAGTATTTCACTGTCATAGTCCTTGACTAGTTCGAGCCATCTTCTTTGCCTCATATTTAATTCCTTATGAGTGAAGAAGTACTTAAGGCTCTTGTGATCGGTGTAGATGGTTCACTTTTCGCCATAAAGGTAGTGTCCCCAGATTTTGAGTGCGAAGACAACGACGGCTAATTCGAGATCATGGGTCGGGAAGTTCCGTTCGTACTCTTTGAGTTGTCGAGAGGAGTAGGCTATAACTTTTCCATTCTGCATGAGTACGGATCCTAACCCTAGCTTTGAGGCGTCGCTGTAGACTATGAATTCTCCATTTCTTTCCGGTAGTGCTAGAATTGGGGCAGAGGTGAGTCGATTCTTGAGTTCACTGAAGTTAGCGTCGCATTCCGGGATCCATTGGTATTTGACGTCCTTTCGGGTGAGTCGAGTGAGTGGCGAGGCGATTTTCGAGAAATCTTGTACGAATTTGCGGTAGTAACCGGCTAGACCGAGGAAACTCCTTATCTCATTTGCATTCTTCAGAATTGACCAGTTGGAAACTGCTTCTATCTTGCTGGGGTCGACGGAGATTCCACTTGCAGAGACGATGTGGCCAACAAAAGAGACACTTGATAGCCAGAATTCACATTTGCTGAATTTGGCGTACAGCTGATGAGATTGAAGAGTTTGGAGAACGGTGCGGAGGTGAGAAGAATGATCTTCTTCGTTCTTGGAGTAAATGAGAATACCATCGATGAAGACGATTACGAATTGGTCTAGATACGGGTGAAAGACTCGGTTCATGAGATCCATTAATGCGGCGGGGGCATTAGTTAGACCAAAAAAGGCATGACGATGAATTCGTAGTGGCCGTATCTCATTCGCAAGGCGGTTTTCGGAATGTCGGACTCTTTGATCTTGAGTTGGTGATATCCGGATCGAAGATCAATCTTGGAAAAGACAGAAGAACCTTGGAGTTGGTCGAACAGATCGTCAATTCGGGGAAGAGGGTACTTATTCTTGATAGTGATTTTATTGAGTTCTCGGTAATCGATACAAAGACGAAGGGATCCGTCTTTCTTCTTGACAAACAGCACTGGGGCTCCCCATGGTGAGTGACTAGGTCGAACGTAACCTTTGTCGAGCAGCTCTTGGATCTGATCTTTCAACTCTTTCAATTCAAGAGGGGCCATGCGATATGGGGCTTTGGAAATTGGTGCGGCTCCGGAATTAGATCGATTTCGAACTCAATTTCTCGATCGGGTGGAAGTCCGGGAATATCGTCGGGAAATACGTCGGGAAATTCTTGTACTGTTTGGACGTCGGATAATTGAGGTTTGGCGTCGGGTTCGGGATTCACAACATCTACTAGATAGCCGAAATTCCCTTTATGAATGAGTTTGACGGCTTTTATGGCGGAGATCATTGGAATCGAAGTTTTGGCTTGGCTTTGGAATTTTAAGATTTGGCCGTTTGGAAGAGGAAAAAAATAATTGTTTTCGGGGCACAGTCAATTTGGGCTTTATATTCGGTTAACCAATTCATTCCTAGAATGATATTAAAATTGTGGATTGGCAGGACAATGAGGTCGAAATTCATAGGTTGTGAATGAACTCAGATTGAACAGTTGGTCACTACTAGGCCCGAGATCATTACTTCGCCAGAGGGAATGAGTATACTATAGTCGTGATTCAAGCGACTAGGTTTGATCTTAAGGCTTGTAATCATATTCTCCGATATGAAAGAGTGAGTAGAACCGGAATCAATTAAGGCATAGACAGGTTCGTCGAAAATGTATATAGTACCTGCTATCATTGAGGGATTTTGCTCAATCTGCTCCTTTGTCATAGCAAACACACGTCCTTGGGCACGATTCGGAGCATTCGGACAATCCCTTGCTATGTGTCCGGTCTTTCTACATCTGAAGCACATGTTCGTCCCTTGTACACAAGCTCCAAAGTGTGATTTCCCGCATTGTTGGCAAGTTGGTTTGGGCGGCTGTGGGAGTCCAGATTGATTCGATGGTTGGCTTCGGTTGCCCTTGAATTTGTGGTTGCCGAAGTTAGCCTTCTTCCATGGGCGTTGACTCGTGCCTTGAGATCGACGGTTCTGTTGGATCTCCTTTTCGTCTTGGGCTGCCATCAGGGCTTTGTCCACTAGTTGTCTGAAAGTCGAGGCGTCGGACATACGGATATCTCGTCGGATTTCAGGTTGTAGGCCACGGATGAAGTGATTCTTTTTCTCTTCGGGATCTCGAGCGATGAATGGGGCGTAGAGACAGCCACGTTCGAAGCGACGGATGTATTCGAGCATCGGCGGTGCACCTTGACGAAGTTCTAGAAATTCCTTCAGTTTGTGGGCACGTGCGTCTTTGGAAAAATATTTTTCGAAGAATTGTTGTTTGAAGTCGGTGCATTGTATAGTGTCGAGGTCGACTCCGTCTTTGACTCCTTCCCACCAGTGACGAGCTTCATTTCGATGTAGGAAAAGAGCGCAATGCACACGATCACGATCGGCCATTTGTATGTAGTTGTAGATTACTTCTAGGGATTTGACCCATTCTTCGGCTATCGTCGGATCGGTTCCACCATGAAATTCAGAGGGGTTCATTTTGAGGAATTGTTCGTAAATGGCGTGAGGTGCTGCTTGAGGAGGAGGCGGAGGAGGATGGTTTCGTCGGAGAAGTTGGTCAATTTGTCTTTGGTGGTTTTTGGCTTGTTCGAGACGTTATGGATGGTTTGGTTATGGTCGGTTGGTTCATTAGTGGGAGTGCCTTGGGAACTCCGGGTTAGTCGTCTTGCCATAATTTCTATAACCTATTATGCAATTTATAAGTAAAGCACATAAATAAATAAGACATATAATGCACATAACGTTACCTGATGGGCGAGTTTATCGTGTCTCGTTAGTCTTCAAGCCCAGCTTTCGGTTCGTACGAGTTTTTTATAAACAATGCTCTGATACCACTCTTATAGCACCCCCCTCGGGTCGGGCGATAAATCGAACCAGTTTATCGGAAAACTTTACTTAGATAGCGGAAGCAAAAGGGATCTCTTTGTAATTTTTAAAACTTTCGAGTAGGACCAAAATGTAATTTCTAAAATTCTCTTTTTGGGTCATTTGGCACACACATATACACACAACATGCAGCCCCAAAACACACTTTAATTAGCATTAAATTATCAAAACATGCCCTTTAAAGCACCAACATTTTTATCTTTTCATTAATGGGATTTCTCCCCCTTTTATTCATTTAATGAATTAAAATTCTTACAGCCCCTTAACATAGTTCAGCTGCAGATTTTTAACCATCAACTCACAGTCTCACAATTAATACACAAGGCATAATGATTAAAACACAAAAGTTACATTTATGACACATGCACAACCAATATTTCGAAATAATAAAAAATGGCATCTAAAAATTCTCAAATTTAATTATAAGCTGCCTAACGACTAAATGAACAGATGCAAAAAAAATTTTGTAGTTTCCTCAAAAATCGGATTTATAAAAATTAAAATACTGGGCAAGTAGTGTTGAAGCCAAAAATGATTTTTCCAACAAATTTTAATCCCAAACTATGTCCAAATAGAAATAACAAAATTCCACTTATTCCTACTGAGATTTTAAAGGTGAAAACATTTTTCAGACTGAAATTTCAAGAAATTGTAGATTAGTCCCAAAGATTCATAGATCTACACAAGCAACCCCAAAAATCTTGAAAACTCATTTTCCTTTTCCAAAATTCCCAAAAATTTGAAATATTAAACCTTTAAACACAAAATGCTTAGATTCACAGATTATAACATGGATTGGACATGCAAGAACAAAAATACCAAGATGAGCACAAGATTTCGGATTTTACACAAAATGCCCTAATTTTTCGAAAAGTGAGGAAATCTTTTAAGTAGTTTTGAAAATCCTTTTCCATACTATGATATCCTTTAATTGCAGCAAGAAATTCGAGATTTCTTACCTATCAAAGAGTGTTGGCCGAAGAAAGAAAAACCTCCTTCAAGAAGTGGTTCCAAGATTGAACCAAGCTAGTTGAATGGAGAAGGTAAGAGCTTAGATATCAAGTTGGGAGGAGTTTAAATCTCCCGTAAGAGGGCAAGTGTTTTTTATGGTGTTCATGGCATATTCAAGGGTGAAGCTTATATAGGGGATTTGCATTTTGATTTCTATATTTTTTTCTTGAAGAAATTTGAGCTGGTGGCCGATGGAGGAGGTGGTGCTTCGGTGGTGATGTTGAAGGAGAGACAAGTGGGGGTATAGGTGTAAGATGATGAAGATAGATTGGTGTCTCTTGGGATGACTTAGCATGCTTGAGTGTAGGATTAGTGTAAATTCTCACTCTTTGCCAAGTGTACAAGCATGCATCTTTTCTAAGTTACTTACTAATTAATAAAATCACAAATAATTCCTACACACACACATCCGAAAACACACACACACACACACACACACACACACACACACACATATATATATATATATATATATATATATGTAGGGTTAATAGCATTTTGCCACCTGTACTTTGCCCGTTTTTGCGCTTTGCCACCTTAACTAAAAAAAGTTGCACGGGCACACCCAAACTTGTTTTTTTGACGCACATAACCACCTAGAGGGAATATTCCGGCGAATCTTGAAAGATTCCGTCACACGCGCGAGGCACATGACTAAGTACATGGGTTTTTTTGTCTTTTAATCTGAAGATATCATGTGGGGTAAAATTGAAAATTTTAGGGACTCAATTGAACTTTATTTGAAACTTACCCAAATTCTAAATTTATTGAAATAGAGTTGTGTGTCTGCTTCTTCCATGGGAGTGGGTCTTCTTCTTCTATAGGAGTTTCTCCCCATTAATATTTTTCAAAGAAACCATTTCCAATGCTTCGAATGCTCCACAATGTTGGCGATTCTCTCTCTTTCTTTCTAATTCTCAATATGTTTTTGTGGTTTACAATATATGTTGAAATTAATTGCACTGTAGATATATGTCTGTGTGAGAAAATTCAACTATGAAAATAAAAGTGGGATACAGTGCAGATGAAGCAGTAGAAGAAAAGCAACAACAAGTGGAGTCACGTGGTGTGCAACTAGGAGGATTTTGTGAGGAAGATTTGTGCCCAATCATCTATGGCCAGAGATGTATCGTACGCAAATTCGTCAAAACTTTTGAACATGTCTTGCTAATTCTCTAATCAAAATCACTTCCATCTCCCCGATGAACACAATCGTACCTCCAACAGTCCTCTAATCCAAGAGCTAACGAACAAGACTAAGAGAAACGATTGGGCTGAGTATGTTGATGACGATCAGGAGGAACATCGAGGAAAGTTCCAAATTGAGGACCAAGATCGCCTCACAAGGTATTTAATTAAATTGATGAGAGAAGATAACCCCTTAATTTTTTGAAGCTTGGATTTTTTTCAAAAGTTGTTGTTAGTTCAAAGAACAAATTAATGGGGGAGAACGAGAAACTTCCAGCGAAGAAGAAGAATGAGAGTTTAATATCTTTCAATTTCACCCCTTAGAACTTGCAATCTTTCAATTTCATCCTTTGGAACTTTCCTTTTAACCCCACATGATATCTTCAGATTAAAAGACTAAAAAATCCTCACATTAAGCATGTGCATCGCACGTGCGCCGGAAAAATGAGAAGATTCGCCAGAATATTCCCCTTAGGTGGTTATGTGCGTCAAAAAAACGAGTTTGGGTGTGCCCGTGCAACTTTTTTTAGTTAAGATGGCAAATCGCAAAAACGGGCAAAGTACAGGTGGCAAAATGCTATTAACCCATATATGTATATATATATATGTATATATATGTGCATGCATGTACTATACTATGCATTATAAGACACTTATAGAATTAAATTAAAATGCCACAAATTAATTAACTATAACACATAAGTCACATAAATTAATCTAGCACGTAATTATCAATAATTAATCCATTTAAGCACATAATTATCGAAATAAAGTTGGCACATAATTATTCAATAAGTTCCTACCGCATAAGGCATATAATCAAATTGGCATATAAGGATTATTAGTCTAAACAATATAAAGCACTTAAGGAATTAAGTTAGTAGAATTCCTAATGATCTCTACGTGAGATTTTTCGGGTTATGAAATTTTGGTTAGGGATTAGGGTTTCGAAAATGTGGGGTGTTACATCTGAAGAGCTCACAAAGACCGCAAACTATTTGATGAAAGAATTTGAGATGAAAAATCTTTGAAGGACAAAATTTTGTCTCGGCCTGCAAATCGAGCATTTGTCCAATGGAATATTCATCCACCAATCAACATATACAAAAAAGATTCTAAAAAGATTTTACATGGATATATCTCATCCTTTGAGTAGTCCTATGGTTGTTCGATCATTGGATATAAACAAAGATCCATTCCGCCCTCGAGAAAAGAATGAAGAATTACTTGGTCCAGAAGTACCTTATCTTAGTGCCATTGGAGCACTTATGTATCTTGCAAATAACACTAGACCTGATGTTGCTTTATCGGCCAACTTATTAGCAAGATATAGCTCTACACCGACCAAAAGACATTGGAATGACATTAAACATGTATTACGCTATCTTCGTGGAACAACTGATATGGGTTTGTTTTACTCAAACAAATTCAGAACCCCAAGTAGTGGGCTATGCAGATGCCGGCTACCTTTCTGATCCACATAAAGGCAGATCTCAATGTGGTTATGCTTTTATTTGTGGCGGTGCTGCAATTTCATGGCGCTCAGTGAAACATACATTGGCGGCTACTTCTTCAAATCACTCAGAAATTCTGGCATTGCATGAAACCAGTCGCGAGTGTATATGGTTGAGATCAATGATTCAACATATTCGAGGAAATTGTGGGCTGACTTCAATACGAGATACACCCACAATACTTTACGATGATAATGCCGCTTGTATTGCACAAATCAGAAACGGCTACATTAAAGGTGATAGAACAAAACATATATCACCCAAGTCATGCAACAACTTGGCAAATTTATTCACTAAAGCACTGCCAACTACAACATTCAGGAAGATGGTCCATAGTATTGGAATGCGTCGACTCAAAGATCTCTTGCCGACATCAGGAGGAGCGTGATCATTAACTCTAACACACTGTACTTTTTATCCTTCGTCCAAGTTTTTATCCCACTGGGTTTTCTTGGCAAGGTTTTAACGAGGCAGTGTCTCACAATCGCAAGCTTCACATGGATGTGTACTCTTTTTCCTTTGTCCAGATTTTTCCCATTGGGTTTTACTGGCAAAGTTTTTAACGAGTCATATTTCATTAAGATTGACATCCAAGGGGGAGTGTTATGAATGCATTCAATAAGCATTTAGTGTGGATGTCAAAAACATAAGAGCTTAAGTGGGCTTCATTAATACTTTATGTATTCAATATGCTCATTGAGAACTATAAATATATGTCATTGTAATGGATTAACAACACACTTGAATATACAAGAAAGAATAAGAATAAAAGGTTTTATTATCCTCCCATATTCTTGTTTTACTTGAGTTTCTTTAGTATATTTATAACAACTGTTATGATTATTAGTTTCTTATTTTTAAAATATTAAATAATTGATG